GGGTAATTGTATGCGTTAAATTCTTCAACATGATGTTTGTTACAGATCTTATATCTGCTGCCAACCATGTTCAAAATGAAAATATTCTGTCCCGTAAAGTCTGGGTTGCTGAACGCAAGATGGGTTGCCCTAAATTATACATACATTATTTTTGCATGCACAGTAACTCCTAATTAGTATAGAGACATGCTTCGAACCTTGCAATTATTTTATGAAAATTTACAAGATTTTTTTTGACCGGCCTAGGACGAGGCTTTGGGATTCCCCCTTGTATATCCGTATAAAATCGTTAGATCCCCGACCAGTTGGCCTCAGATGGGCTGTTTCCTTTCTCGACGTGGTTATTTGTGATTTCCTTTTTTATTTCTTGGCAGGGATAATAATTGGTTTTATTAACATCGCTTCTGGCGCACTTTTTCATTGACTTCTGAAAGCGTTCGATCGGCCATTTCCTTCACATTTGTGACCCGTCAGTTATTCAACTGAAATGGATGCGTCACACTTGAAGAAAAAATACCTTGTTTACTTCATAGTGAACCAAGAACGCTCTAAATTCAGGAAAATCGCCTGTTTCTTCTTATTTTCATAATTTTAGAGAAAAAATGATCGAAACCAGCTGTATCCGTCTTGTGAGAACATCAGAAAAATGGTTCAATCGTGTTCTTTGTCGCTTACACTAGAGTCGTTGGAAGTTATTCAAATTTCGATATGTTCTTGATTTTGACATTGAGACTTTCAATCACAGTCTCTCCTGAAATCCATTATTTTACCTTATTTGACATGCAACGTATTTCCTCAAAGTTCTTCGCAAGAATAATGCGCGCAAAGACTCGAACTCGGAAATGCTCAGCATTATATATGTAACCGTTCATGTCTGCTCTGCAAATTTATAGCGATGTATTTTTGCATGTGGTAAACAAAGTGATGTACTCACATTTTACTTCTTATCGGTTATGAGATAGAACGTGCTTCGGATCTACTATATGGATTGAAATAATGTATTTAGAAAACCCATTCAGAGAAACGAGATTTCTGTGCACGCTGGAGAAATGAGACCTTCTTTCAATAGTCGACAAAACCAGTGATTCAAGGGGCTTTGAACAATGAAAAAAAAACGAAATCCCCTCCTGGAATAATACAAGCTAAATTCCATCGATAAGTCAATAATAAGTTTAATAGTGGCTTCACATGAATGCAATAAGCATCCTGAATTTTAGCTGTAGGATATTTTTCACACGCATATATTGGAAAAGCGTGTTGTCGAAATCATTGATTATACGCTTGTTGAGCTGAAATCCGATTTTACGCCAATGAAGTTTTCCTGCAGTGAGTCAGTCGTCCTGCAAATATAACGGCACATGTCCATGAACCGACATTTGGTTTGGCAAGAAGTTCATCAGTCCTTTTCCTATATATACGTGTGAGCGAAGACGGAATGTGATTTGCAGGCCACATGAATATTCATTCTCTTTCTTGCTTCAGGGATATATGCCTTATATAGGAGGAACTTCGGGATTCCTAAGTAAGGGTGGTCCAACGAAGAACTCATCTTCTCGCGAAAAGAAAAGTGCATGCATGAAAAAAATGAGAATTTTTTGCGAGTTTAGATCTTCCTTTTGGTAATTTTGAAAAGATGAAATCAGTACTGTACAGTACTTTGTCCTTCTTAATTGAGAGCTATGAGTTGATTGTTCCCACCAGCTTGATTTTTTTATCCACTGCGAAATTCTGAGGACACTTCGCGAATTCCAAGCAGAATCCACGCTATGCAGATTTCACAAAACTTGACTATATAAAAGGGATTTAAAGTTTGAACTATCGTCAGCAGTGACAACATAATGCAAATGCGTTCAATAGGTCATCTTTCGAAAGATCGTGAGGCAGGTTATAGTTGATGCACATCCGTTTTTTTTTATCTCGATCATTAAACAAAGATTTTTGTCTTATAATTTTATCGATTTTCCCCCCGTGAAAGTGAAAACTACTGCGTGAGTTTTCAGAAAGAGACATTTGCACTGAAAGATGTTTTTTATTAGACAGGTTTTTTTCTTGTTTCTTTTCGCGAACGTGCATCATGTGTTTAGAATGAAATATTCATTATAGAAATATATTCAAATTAATTACAGGCTTCATGAACGAATCAACGTGAAAAGAAAGATTTCATCACATTGTATGTTACCGCGCTTTTTCTGAGCTGTTGAATTTCTATGGAATCCTTTGAGCGAATTGGCACTTTTTTACTGCTAGACGTATGGTATTTTTTCGGTAGTTCAAATTATGATCAGAAGTTGAAAAAATTGAATTTCGGTGTATATATAAGTATAATATTTGTAGAAGCCGACTTCGTGCAAATTTTATCGACCAAGAGGCTTCCATTATTCGCTGAGGAGTGACTGATGAATTATTGTTCATGTCCGGCCTCTTCTGATCTGAAAATTCTTTGAAGATTCAGCAGATCCTTCTTTGAAGAAAAGAAAAACGCCATCATCTCATATGCTGTTCTTTAACTAAAGGATAAAAGCATATACCCCCCATGCAAGTTTAAGGTTTCCATTCCGAAGAATAGGTGTCACATAATGAAGTTATCTTTTTGAGGTTATGATGATTGTCTCCATAGGAGTCCAGGTGAAAAATTGAATTATATTCTGAACATAAAATTACGCCTCCTCGGACAGCTCTGTATTTTTCTCTGTGTATTTTTAATTCATGCGAGGGAAAATTGACGATGACAAAACAAATCAACTGGAAGATTCAAATCATGGCCCTCAATTAGTGGGAAAGAAATTAAAGCTATTATATTTTCTACGAGGATCTCGGACTAATTCAGTCCTGTACTGTATTGCACAACGCTGAATTTGTCTTTTCAAAATTACTGGAAGGGCGAAGCTCTCTTTCTGAGGTTATATCTTTGTCTCCAGGAGTCCAGGGGCAAAATTGAATGATATTCTGAGCAAAAAAATTTGCCTCCTCGGAAAGCTCTGTGTTTTTCGTTTTTTTTTTTAATTCCTGCGGGGAAAAAATTGACGATGACAAAACAAATCAAATGGAAGATTCAACTTATCGCCCAAAATCAGCAAGAAAGAAATTAAAACTAATATATTTTCTTTGAGGATCTTCCTTCCAGTAATTTCGAAAAGACAAATTCATTCCTGTACTGTGTTGTACAGCGCTGAATTTTTTCTTTTCAAAATTACTGGAAGGAAGATCCTCGCGCAAAAAGTATCAGTTTCAATTTCTTTTTCGGTCAAAAAGGTAGTCTCCCACCGATAAGGGTGTATCCAGAATTAATTGCTGTCACAAACCTGGATGGGAAACGAAAAAAGAAATATGGATACTATAGGACAAAAAAATAGGGCTTCCTTGGATGGTTTTCTTCCGGGATCACATTCCCTAATCAGGTCTTCTTCGAAATTCATTTGTTTGAATAATTTATGATGCGTCGTGGTTCGGTGGGAAAAAACGAAGGTAATTTGTCGTCATTTTCATGCACATTAAATTTTATAGATTCAAATTTTTGGACTTTGAATGTAACTGAACAGCTTCAAGCAGGGAAATAATTCTCATTTTAACAAAAAATCCAGTATCAGCAGACAAAGAATTTAACTGAAAAAAAAAATATCGATTTTCCCAGAATTGTTGAGCTTATCAGGGACGATTGTAAACATCTCCGGAAATTCAACTAATAAAAAAAGGAAAAATGACATTGGATACGGATTATTTCTCTGTAAAAAAAATTGGAAGAGTATCAGCCAATTTTCATCGAGTTCTTATTGCCTGTGTCTCGGGCACCTTAGCATAATTAAATATGCTTCGAAAGAATAAATTCTAAGAAGAATCTTGACGTGACGAAATCGACTCAGGTGTGTTTCATTCCTTGATTGAATTTTCTGCGATAATACAGATCAGGCTTTTGAAATCTGTGAATTTCAAGGAATTTAAAAAAAAAAAACTTAAATGAGAAATACCCTGATGGACGCATAAAAGAAAGAATATTCGGTATTCTCACTGCACTTTGGGTCAATATTGTGGCATTTTTTTCATTTATTTCTGAATGAAAAAAGGTTGATTAAATTCAATTTTTTAAATGATGGATAACTGATACTACTGTATACTTGGAAACATGCTTCAAAACTGAACAGCTTCAAGCAGGGAAATAATTCTCATTTTAACAAAAAATCCAGTATCAGCAGACAAATAATTTGCACTGAAAAAAATAATATCGATTTTCCCAGAATTGTTGAGCTTATTAGGGACGATTGTAAACATCTCCGGAAATTCAACTAATAAAATAGGAAAAATGACATTGAATACGGATTATTTCTTTGTAAAAAAAAAAATGGGAAGAATATCAGCCAATTTTCATCGAGTTGTTATTGCTTGTGTCTCAGGCGCCTTAGCATAATTAAATATGCTTCGAAAGAATAAATTCTAAGAAGAATCTTGACGTGACGAAATCGACTCAGGTGTGTTTCATTCCTTGATTGAATTTTCTGCGATAATACAGATCAGGCTTTTGAAATCTGTGAATTTCAAGGAATTAAAAAAAAAAAAAAACTTAGAAGAGAAATACCCTGATGGACGCATAAAAGAAAGAATATTCGGTATTCTCACTGCACTTTGGGTCAATATTGTGGCATTTTTTTCATTTATTTCTGAATGAAAAAAGGTTGATGAAATTTTTTTAAATGATGGATAACTGATACTACTGTATACTTGGAAACATGCGGGCACTGACCTTTTCATCCCTCGTCATATATATATATACACACACAAAGCATGCAGACATATATTGATGTCCTTTTCGGCGCTTTGTCTCGTACTGTTCCGGCAAATTACCGTATATGTATAGCTCATGGTTCTCAGAATCGAGACCCCCCCGGGATTCATATTTTATATTCTCACCCCCACAGGCAGGATAATTTCCAGCTGGTTCGACACAGCAGCCCGCGAAATCGACATCCCGGACTTGATGAAGTTCTCTAATTACTCCTTCCGCGTGCTCGCCTTCAACAAAGAGGGCGACGGGCCACTCGGTGCGCCGCACTTCTGCATGACTGCAGAAGACGGTAAGTGTGTAGTTCTGCTGCTGCTGCTATTTTTTTGTTTGGTTTTTTTTTTAGTTTTTGGGGAAATGACTAGAGCAGAATATGGGTCGTTTGCCAGTTTGGAAAGCGATACTTTTTTTCCATATTAATTAAAATAAACTAAAATTATTTGCAAGGCTTTCATTTTTGGGATTCAGCACAGTATGATGATGAAGAAATTCGCGCTGTAGTTCTTCTCGAGAAAAAAATGAGCCACGGTTTTCAATCGACGAAACTTTTGCGTGACTTCTGAAAACAATTCGAAGTGTTTCAATGCGTTAGTCTACAATTTTTTCATAATCGTATTCGGGCCGGGTCATGATGAAAAACGAGACCTCAGATGAGTTGGACCAAATTTACAAAAAAGAATTCCCATTATGAACGGTAATCGATAATTATTTTCAGTTCATAAGCGTTTACACGAGGAATATTCGAACAAAAAATCTGAACAGCTTTCGAATTCATCAAACACAAGCACGATGTTATGTATATACCAAGTATTCTTTGAAAAATCGGTTTTCAATTAAAATCTAAATTCAACGTCTGAAAATAATGTATGAATGTCAAAAGTGGATGTTGAACTTTTCATTTTCTCGTTACGCAACGGGCCGCTGCAATTTCTGGAAAAAATATTTTTCTTTCGTATTACAAGCATTACAATTTTGACTGGTCTGCAGAAATACATTCGATAAGAATATATACTTTAATATATGAATCGCTGTGTCTGAAAGAGGGTATGTTAATTTCTTCTAGAATTCTTTGTGAGCTTCTTGCAAAAAAAGTTCATTCATCCGCTGTGCCCAAAAACTTGATGTGGCTCATTATAAAAACTTCGAATTGTATGTAAGAGCATAAAAGTGAAATCGAAGCAGGATATTCTTGTGACAGTACTGTGTATCTTTCACTTTTTCCCGCACAGAAGAAATTGCTTTGGGACAAATTTCCGCCCTGGGGTGGTTTTGCAAATTGAGACCCCGAGATGCGAACGTGATTGCGAGTGTCCCTATTAAATTTAAATGTCCCTAAGTTGAGTCTCATTTTCCCTTATACTTACATTATTTTTTAATTGGTGTTTCTCACTTTAATCCCATGAAAATATAAATTGTCTCCTAATTTAAACTGATTCAATCAATATATTTGAACACAATATGGACATTTGGGGAATCGAATACTGATACTTCTGTGCAGTACCTAGAAATGTTGATATTCCCTGTAAAAGTATCATTCAGGTGAAAAAGAGAGAAGGAATTCCCTCTATGCTGGAGGTAATTTTTTAAAATCAGCTAAATGGATGATAAATTGGTGAGAGAAATGCCCAAGAGCTTATTTGCTTACATCAATTTTAGGGTTGGAAATATCTGTTTCTTGTAATTTGGCCTGAAATTTCATCAATTTTAGGGTTGGAAATATCTGTTTCTTGTAATTTGGCCTGAAATGTATTTGCAAATTTATCACAAAATTTCCCTATGTTGAGTCAGTGTCCTCATGTCAGGCCTTTTTTAAAATTAATTTTATATGGGGAAATAAGTGTCCCTATGTTGAATTGTCTACAGGTCAAGGGGTCTGCGTGTGGGGGTCTCTCTGTATACAGTATATAGAGACCCACGCTGTTGCTCCTCTGTTTCGCAGCTCCATCACGCACTGAATTTAATAAGAAATTTTCGCTCGCTATTTCCCACTGATGTATAGTGCCGGACGCGCCGGAGGGAATCAAGGCCCTGCAAATTTCCCCGAAAACAGTGCTGGTGTCATGGAAGCCCCCGTTGCGTCCGAACGGAGTCGTGGAGCGCTACGACCTGGAGATTAAAGAGCATTCCGCGAATGCCTTCCCGTCTTTGTCATCGGCCTCAGACACGTTGGCATCTGCATTCCCCTTGTCCAGGGGTCGTACGGAGACTAAGAAAGTCAAGACCCTGCCTGGCAGGAAAACCGTGTCCACTTTCCAGGACGCTGTTCCGGGTTGGGTCTACGAATTCTCCGTGTCTGCGTCCACGTCTGCGGGTCAAGGCCAGCAGACGGCGCCGTTCATTTTGACTTTGGAACAAAATGGTACGAATGCTTAAAAACGAAATTCAGCTATTAAATTGAAAACAGAATCATTCGATTGAAAGTATCCGCAAAACACAATCTATATGAATATAGATAGGTTTAGATTGTGATTTTAATGTCCAATATTTATCGCTTCTCCGAAGCTTCCGGGTTGCGACGTAACTCCACAAATTGGCGTGAACGTGGAAAAATTCAAATACTGTATTGTATTCTACGGACATCGCGTATCAAAGAGAGGAAGCAATTTAATACAGGCACTGATCGAAATTTTATTTCTACCGCTCTATAACCATAGCATACATTGTTCAAGCATGTATTGTCCTTCCCGAAATTACAAAGAATCAAAACCGCCAGAATCAAAAATTGTCAATCATCAGCGTATATGTTCAACGTTGGTCACAGAAATTGCCTGTCTAACCCATGCATTCAATCGGTGATAAACTTAGTTCGTATATATATTTCACATAGTTTCGAATAGTATAATCCCAATACAGGACCCATAATAATTCGAAGGATCTGAAAAAGACTTCAATGCAGCTTGAAAAATATCACGGGCATTTTAATCAACACCATACTTCAGCGCAAGTTCCATAAATTTGAAAGATTTGAAGTTAAATGGAGCACGAAAACGATTTTCCAAAAAAGGTCTATATGCAACTTCTATTACAAGAAATTGCGTATCATTTCTGCTTTTGCATCCTTCTTTTAATTTGGAAAAATGGACATCAATACAGTAATATTCGAAAAGTCGCTGTGCATCAGAAACAGGAAGTGAAAATTTGCGATCTCAAAATTTGATTCCAGACTGTATATAGAGAAGCGCATAAATTATGATCCTGCGCAAAAGTGAAAGTTTCCGAATGCACAGTGTATTGGCTCAATTAATCAAAATTAATATACAGTACTGTACTCGTATTCACTTAAGAAGTGCTGTACTATATATAAAAAAAACTATGCTAATACTGCGAGTGTAATTTTCGGAGACATTCGAGTAATGTTTCATTGTATAGTACTTTGGTCAAAAAAGTGCAGTAATTATGAATTCATTTCCGGATGGTAATTTCTCGAACACTCTTACGATGCCTCTTCTCATCCGAGCGGATAATTTCTGAAGATTCTCGATTTTTTGTTCTAAAATAAGCTTGAACATGATGATTTTTCATTACAGTACCAGCGAGAATAGCATCCTGGGGAACCAATCTGGAGACAACAGTTGGCTCAAGTCTGCTCCTAGAATGCTTAAGATTTGGATTACCTAATCCGAATCTCACCTGGGGTGACGAATACAACACTTTGATCAACTTCAATGATCGGGTGGTGGCGAAAGACGATGGTTCCTTGGTGATATCTGATGTCACGAGAGGAGACAGCGGAAAGTACACTTGCAATGTCGCAAATTCGCACGGAAACGACGCAATCACGTACAGCATAACTGTTCGAAGTAAGCAAACCGCGAAGAAATGCAAATAATTTCTTGAAATTTTACCTCTTATGTCAAGTGCTTCCTCCAAAATCAATTAATAAATCATTCCCAGCAATTAATAAACAGTTATTCAGACATGATGCAATTCCCAACGGTTGATATTCTTTCAGAAGACAGACATCTATGTTATTCGGGATAACTCTTTGTGATGTTTAATATAAAGTTGGATAGATGTCGGTCGAAGCTTCTCGAAACTTTTCGGGCGGAATAGGTACTGTATATCCGCTTTCCTCCAAAAGTGAAATCGAGAATCCCACTTTGAATTATTCTGTCAATAGGTTCACCGAAGCCACCAAAACTTCAAGCAACAAAGGCATCAACGTCGAACATATCACTACAATTCGTGGTTATGGATGATGGTGGTAGTCCAGTCCGGGGTTTTCTGCTCCGCCTACACCGCGTTCGTGGCAACGTCAACGATGTTGCAATCCCTTCTGACCAAGATGTCGCTGCTCAGTCTGCCGTCATCGGCGGCGATTTCGACAACGAAATCATGCCAACGAATTCTTTCGATGAACTAATAGTAGACGGTTTTCCCAAGCATCGACCGGAGTCTCACATCATAGAAGTCTCTCGCGAAATCAATAGCTACACTGTGGAAGGCCTGGCTTGTGGCTCGTCTTACAGCGTGGCGATTTCCGCCTGGAACTCCGCTGGTCACGGAAAATATAGTGAACAAATAATCGTGAGGACTGAAGGTACGAAGCCTCAGGTACCCGATTCCAGGACTGTGTTGGACGTGAATTCGACTTACGCAATTTTCCATGTGGATCGCTGGACTGGTGCTTCTTGTCCGGTCTTGTATTTTGTTGCAAAATACAAGGAAGAAGCTTGGAAAACCTGGGCACCGAGTGAGACCACGTTTAAAATACTGTATTATACTCAGATTTTGAAAATTTTAAGCTTGAATCTCCATCCAACGCAAGTTCAAAAATAATTATATTGAGAATAGAATTCGAAGATAGAACAAATTTTGAAAACTCTGCATGCGATGAGGTCTAAAATATATGACGTTCTAAAATATCTCACATAGAGCATTGTCATCTTCTGATATTAATGATTTTCCCTTGACTATCAAACTAGCAAAAAAGGAGAAAATTGACGAAAAATTGTCATCGGAATACAGCAAATTTCTTATTGCAGAAAATGCACATGAAAAACGAAAGTTGTTCAATTTATTTTCGTCCTTCTGCGAAACAAAGTAAGCGCAACATTTTGAAAGGAAATCTTTGAAATTTCACTCGCCCAATACGGAGACTTTTCGCTTTTGGAAATGTCCTCGAAATATCTAAGTTGGTCAACTCAATGCACATAAAACAGCGGAAATCAATCAATTGAAGAAAAATTAAATTAGCTCAGGTATTCCAAATGTTGTTTGAATCCCCTTTTGTCCGAAAGGAATAATTTTCAATTTATTTTGTCGAATATTTTTGACCCACGTTGAATACAAAGGGAGAACTAACCTGTGAACTATGCAAATTCTAAATAAGCCGTAAATACTAGCGACGATCGCAAGTAGTTAATGTTTTTAGGTATATAGACTGAAATGCCGTTCGTTGTTACTCTAGATCTAGTTATGCATGCTTTCCTTTTTTGAATATAATTACTTCACCTAAAGCATTTTCTTTTTTGAAATTTGGCAGTTTCAAGAGCCGGAAAGGACGTTCGTTCGCCAATTATACTTGACGACTTACGACCGGCGACAGCCTACGAATTGTCCATCAGAGCAGTTTCCGAAGCTGGAGAAACTGTCTTTCAGCACCGATTTTTCACACTCAACATTCTAGGAGGTTTGTATATTTTCAAATACGAAGATTGATATGAATATGGGTGGCCTCCTTAAGAATACAAAAAATAATTCCATGCTCAAATCCGTCTGATCAGGTGCAAAAAAAATAGAACACCGGAGCCAGAAATTCGTGAAAAAAAAGAACGCAAACGAAAAAATGTAACCTGAATGAGTTTCAATGGCTTTGGGTTTTATGATGAGGGGGTTAGGATTTTTTTTCATTTATTCATTCAAGTACTGTAAAATGCAATAAAAAAAAATTTGTTCCTCGAATTCCCACACAGTTGATATATCCCGAAGGTTTTTATTTCTGGTCCAGCAAGTTCGAATCAAAATTCTAGCATGACTTCAACTCTTCCAAAAACCAATAATGTTTTCCAACTCGTGATGAAAATCTTGATCAATCTGATGCGCAAAAGGTATATTCTGCTGTCTTCTGTGCTGTGCCACAACGTTGCTTAGCTTGTTTTTTCTCTCTCTTTCATAACAGCCCTTCCTTTTTTATTTATTTTTTATTCGACATTCGCGTCACACACATAATGTTTCGCATTATTTTCCTCGCAGTGGCAGTGGCTGGCGAAGCTTCAGTAAAGGGCGACAGTGACGGGCCGTCGTTCAGCGACGTACGCATCATGACACCCACCATCCTGTCGATCGTTGCGGTTGCTGTGACAGTTGCGTCTGTCTACGTTTTCCTGCGACGGAGTAAGTGTCACGTTCTGCGCCTGTACTTTTTATACTCGGGGAATCGCCATTGCTGAAGAAAAGTCGTATTTGTGGCGCGGGGGAAAACATTTTTCGACAAGGAAGTGTACCTTTGCATAATAAGAAGATATTGACATTTTATTCATTTAATTGAGATAGTGGATTATATAATACGTGTCAAACGCGCAATATTTGTTTGTTTGTTTTTGCAATTGCTCAAGATTCTGGGAATGCGATTGGAAATTTTCAAAATTTAATTTATACCAATAGTTTTAGTCGTGATGGAAATAAATTTTAAGACGACCAGCAGATTTTAAATCACCCAGGAAGGAATTACAACATTTAATTATTGCTCGTACGAATAACGTTTAATCCTCAATGATGATAACTTGTCATAAATGTCATGCGAAATTCGTGTAAAGAATCCATCGTTATTTTTTAAAGCTATAAAAGTAAAATTTTTCTCGATGTCAAATGCATTAAGTCTCACTCCAAGTTTAGTAATTTTAGGGGGTAAATTGCGTGTGTTCGGAAGGGAAGTTAAAAATTCTTTATGAAAAATTCTTTCTTGACAGTATTGAAATATGCGCTAAATTTTGAATACTGTTCTCCTGAAGAACAGGTACCCCTGTTTCAGAATGAATTTCGAGATATTAAATTTCAGGAAATTTTACCAAAGTCAATACATTTTAAAATCTCTCTTTGCATCCTCCTTCGATTCGAAATTAATTTTTAGTAACTCCCCATAAGAGATCTCATATGCAATACTCCAGCACTGTATACTCCGATGAAATCGAACTCAAAACTTGTTGGGATCTCTCTAAATTTATTCTATGAAAAATACATTTTTCTATACTGCATCTACATTTTTGAAATGCTATCCAGTATACAAAGATTGCTTTCCATTCATCTTGTACAATTCTTGAATGATGAACGCAGAATGATTTGAAAATGACGATAATTACTTGGTTTTGGGCAATGCATCAAGTTGATCACGTATTCTTACAATATAAGCAGTACTTTCTGTGCACTGAAGAAGGTCTTGACAGAGCTTCAGACAAGATTAATGTCTTCCTCAGTGTCTGATTAATGGAATTATGGAAAGCACTTCCGAATACTTTTATCACTGAAAGCAGTCATGCGGAAAAATACCTAGAAAACAATGGTCTACGGCTTTACGCCAATCGAGCGAAAACGAAATTTCGATTACTGTCAATTACTGATTTTTAAATTTCTTCTATCTGCAGTGTTCCAAAATGTGACGGATATTTTCTTGATCAATAAATTGTTGAACATAATAATTTTAAGGAAGGGAAGAATCCTCGATTTGATGACGGGCGAAATCACGGACTGCTGATTTCATTTCCGATGATGAACGAAACTAAATTTAGTTCTATTATTGTGTCGGACGCAAAAGAAACATTTTGTGTGTCCATCAGCAAAAGGCGTCAAAATACGAGAGACAATTTTGCACGGATTCGCATCACGAATCACGATGTACAAATATCCATGCTTATTTCATTCGCCATTATTTTCTGCACAAATTTCAAATCCTCGTCCAGCATTCCAATGATTGTATTCTGCTGATGCTAATTTTATGCTTACATAGAATTGCTGATTGAATTTTGTCTGCTCTGAACTCTTCAGGAATTCTTCGTGAATCACAACAGTCGTATCTTTCTTTCTTTCGAAATTCATGCAGAAAATTTTTATTCATGTTTCCTCGCTGAGCTCTGCTTTTAGCTCTTTCAATGTTTCAAAAATCTCACGCTATTGTCGAGTTATCTAAAAAAAATGATAGCAGAGCATGGTTCCGAACCACAGGTCCATGGGTTCGTGGCCCAGACCTGTGGCCTGAAACCACGCTCCGCTACCGAAAGAAATCCACGAAAATGACATCTTATCAACTCGAAAAATTTGATAAGATTTTTCAATGAAAAAAAAACGCGAACAATCTCATTCGTGACTATGGATACATTTCTGAAAGGAGTTGAGACAATTAGATAGGTCTAATGTAGGGTCGAATTCAATGATTTGACACTCGCCAGTTCAAAAACCCAGAAAAAACTATAGTGCATAAAATTATTTCGCTCATGGCAACATATACATTACCATTTATGGACGATTTTGATATTCATTCAGGACTAATACAGTAATTTATTATTATTTTCTGGCTAACCCTTGCTCCATCACGCATCGGTTGCGGTTCCCGCAAAATATCTTGGCTTCCGTAATGGGAAAGCCACACTTGCTATACCATTTTTCGCACGCCAAAAAGGCACTGAGACCGGGCTCGACCCTTGCGCCAAAAATGCATGGCGAATATATAGGGGGCGAGTTGCAATTCGCCTCGCAAGCCCTTTCGACCATGCTTTTCTTATACTGTAGTGTACTATACATTCCCCTTTCAGCAGACGAAATCCTAATTATAAACAACAGCTGACTTTTTGCGCTCATTTTCGCAGAAAAGATTCGTGAGCTCCCCGAGCTGAGATCTCGACATTTTCCTTTGTGCTCTGTATTCTTGTGTATCGTTCGTATTCTCATATATACCGCTCTTAAATTTGTGCATGATGGCATTTGTACTCGTGGAAATATTCTTTTGTGTATGGCAAATTGACTGAAAAATCAGAGCGTGTTTTAAAATAGAGCGAGTTTCTCATTGAATGACGTCTTCGATTTACGGATGAAATACAGGACAGAACACATTATTTCGCCTGAGCGTTCATCGCATTTGAATGAATAATTACTGTGCTGAAATTCAATCGAATGAATTCTTACTGTGATCCAAACAGTGCTTAGCTTGTTATAAGTCTTGAAAATTTATAATAAATTGTGAAACTATAATTATCTTATTATTCACATTTATGAAATCTAGTCTAACACTCGCAAAAGCGCGGTATTTAGGTTCGTTACACGAAAAAAATAAGGCCGCAATTAAGTAATGATTGCGTCTCGAATTCAAATGATTTTGTGTGTAAATGTTTGAGATAATTTCCATCCCTCGCTTACAGTATGAGCGTTTGTATTACACAGCATTGCCACTTTTCTATGATCGAAAAAAAAAATTTTTCTAGGGAGGATCCCGGAGGAACGGGTTGAGATGGCTCAGATGAAGGGCAACACTTATCAAGAGTACATGCTCAAATATTACACACTGCTGGGGAAACAGGCTGCGGAAAGAGCCAGTGTGGCTGACGACAAGTCTGAGTGTTCAGCTCCTCCAGGCAAGTGATGATCCCTTTTCTTTGACGCTTAAAAAAAAAAAAGTTCTGAAAATGATAGAAACAGATTGGGAGAATTCTGTGGTCTGTACCATGTAGATGTGTCTGAAATATTTTTTTCAAATGTATTTAATCAAGTATGAAGAAAAAAAGAAAATCGCATCAACGCAGCATTTTTTGGAGAAACAATAGAGCCAACAAATGTTCGTTGAAATCATTTGTTATGCATCCGACGATAGATTTTATTGCCTTCATATCTCGTCAGATAAGGTCGAAAATGCTCCTTGCTAGATAGTAGTCTGTTTTATAAATTCAAACGTTCAGAGAATGCTTGAAACATCGTGGTTTGATCGAAAGTATAGACGTAATCCCAAACACAAATGCTCAAAAAATCGATGGCTAGTAAATTTTGGACTTAGATTCTGATTTATTCATCAAGAAGGTAGAAGAGTATCATGTGATTGCAATGTTTTTCATGAGCAACCAATGCAAATAATAAAATATAACTTTTCGTCATACGTTCTACTTCTCAGAGATTTCGTTGGAGAATCCGAAGCAGTATTTTTTCAACAAATTGAATCCTAAACTTTAAAATCAGTAAAATTCTTACATAAAAGCCATTTTTCGGCGGAGCAATGACTTCAAATGCTCCTCGGCATCTGAATGAAGAAAACGGGAAATTCTTACAAAAATTAAAGCAAAAGTTGGAATTAATCGGGATTTACAATAATAAAAAAAGGTTTAAAACCTCCCGAGACAGGCACACAAAAATATCAAGGATTTATTTGTCTATAATGTCGAAATCAAGGCAACAAAAGTTTTTATTTTGCGTACGAAGGAGCTTCTTCATAAATTCTGTTTCGAAAAAATGTCGCGCGATTTTTAAAAACAGGTTCAAGCTCAATTGTATTCCGACAAATATATTGAGCTAAATATCCGGTATTATTATTCTAGGTAAAATCCTATGAGTTTTTTTAAGCATAATTATCATGCGTTCCCAGATGCTCACTTTTCCAAAGATCGATCAATGCTTATAATGACGACGATTCACCTTCGATGTATCCTTTTTTTTTTTATTAAAATTCGAAATTCCGACTGGAAAAATTTGAAAGACATTACTTTTTTTTCCACAGAATATCACGACGACATCCACCCGTACGCCACTTTCCACCTGGACAAGAAGTTGGAAACGACCAAGTGTCTGAATAACCCGTCGTCTCCGTCTGGCGTCGGGTTGCCCCTAGCCCTAACCCGGCCCGGGAACTTGCTTTCCGGGTTCCCACCGACAACGGAAGCGCCTATGATCCCTGCTGGCGGTGCTGCAGCCTCTTCTTCAGTGATTGGACGTGCTTCCGCTTCCGGCTGCTTCGCCCAGCAAAGTGGATCCGAGTACTACGGATACGGGTGCCCGGTTCCCAGCACTGCCAGCGTGGCTTCCGTGGGTCGCAGGTTCGCCCCCGCAGTTCCCACTCCTGGGGCCCGGATGGCGATGACCTTTGATAAACCTTCTCCCGTGAGAACATTATCATCGCTTTCATATATCCCCTGCCCTTTCGCGGATCAAGGTTCTTGATGCTTTCCTGTGTGATCCTGCATCATCTCTTGCGACGAAATCGATGACTTTCACATATAACAGAGAATAATCCCTCGGGGTAAATCGGTTATTGGAATCGCCAATAATAGTCAGCTGCTGTCCGTCGTCGTCGTATAGAACAAAAATGTCGCATCACGAAATTATTGCGAATCATTTATTGAAATTAATTTAATTTTTCAAGGGGGTTCTAGAGAATTTGGTTGGCACACAGCACAAATGTTACGCTTTTGATGGTGATCTGCAGAATTTTGACAACAGGACACACGCAGGAAATTTTCAGTTGAAATGCAAGTCCCTGCACATATAATGACTTCAAATTCTGTTTTTTTATCACGATTTTCATTCCACTTTAAATTAAATTCAACCTAAAAATTTTGAGGTGCTATATATTTTCAAGGTTTTAGAACTCCTTTTATGGCATTACTTTCGGTACCGACTCTTGTAAGTGGGAGAATCGTTACTTAGGAAAACTTTGAAAAAACATTCAGAGGCAGAAAAAGAAAAAAAAATGTTGCAATTGACAAAATATACCGCTCGCAAAATATTCCTCTCAAAATCTGGATAGCAATCTTAGGTAAAAGGCACTGCTGGCGCAACGATTCAGTGGCATATGCTTTTTTTCTGCAAAAATCAAAACTTCCTAATTGTTTGAAGTGATACAATGAAATATTGCACTCGCTTTAGTCAGGGAAAATAACAATCGAAATGAATATCGGCACGAATGCAGGTGAGGTGATCCTTAAAGAATATACTGTAGTAATAACTGCTGAGGTAAAATATTTTCGGGCAGATGCGGGGAAAATATGTACGGTAAATTCCATACAACTTGTAATTTAATGCTTTAATTTGATTGAAAATCATTGAAAAAAATGTTGAGAGGAAAGTCTTTGAATGCATCGAATATTTGGGCCATTTTTGGCTCATACGAAAACGCATATAGCTTCGCCGAACTATCCAATGCAAATACCCATGCTTTCAAATATTCATCGAATTTTATTCTACGCGATCATTACTATATAGACTCTTAATTTGAAAATTTTCGTCTTAGTGTACATTGGATAGACGGCGATTCAGACACAAGCGGAAATCAGAGTCTGCGAGGAAGTTCAAGTCGTTACGAGGGGGATTGTCGGATGGCGAAGAGGATGACGACGATTCTCCGACAGAGAGCGATCACGTCATGTCGACACCGATGGAGATTCGATCGGCGTCGTTCGCGTCACCCAGAAACATAGTCGTTTACGGAGACGTCGTCACTCGCGACGCTGTCACCGACGGCCTCAAACACAACCTCCAACGACCGCACATGTTGAGGCAGCTCCGAAACCCTGACAGCAGGTTCTCAAAAAATATTATTATTTCATTCAAAATTTATTGGAAATGTTGATTTTCATGGATTAAAAAAAGAACGTTGTTTCCACGAATAATTGTAGCTACGAAAATACTCATGGCGATGTTTAGGACTCAGCTGTAATTTATTGGCGTTGAATAATTTTGTGCAGGACAAAAGTACAGTTGAAAATGATTTTAGACGAGTTATTACCTTCAGTAAATCTAAAGGAAAATTTTTTTCTTTCCAACACTGTCCGATACTAAAGCCTAAAATGTTCATGTTCAATTTCCCACGAAGTTTGAATAGCAGCACATCTGACGAGTTTTTAAAGAGGAGGCATTTTTCAAACATTTAAATGGTCTTTGAATATTTTTTTAGGACCAAAATGCTTTTTGATTTAGAATAATGCTTGCCGTAACATGGTACTTTTCTAACTTTCGAATCACCCGACAGACTAAGAAGTACTCACCGACCCCACGTCACCATCGATTCGCCGTCACACCGACTGCATCTCTACAACCTTGGACTGGAACCCGGGTTGCCAATCCCCGTAAGACCCTGTCCTCAGCAACCCTCCACGTCTTCAGCAGGTGATTACGAACGAGTTCCCTGGTGAATGCTCGCTCCGAAACGACGAACAATCGACGGGGTCCTCTCGAAAAGGCTTTCATTTTATTTATGTATTTTTGTTTCCCGTTTTCATGCTGTTTTAACATTCACGTGATTTTTCGCACGCATACGCAAGTCGAAACAGCTGCTCCTGGGTTTCACCGCCGGGCTCTGGTTCCGAGGTAAATCCGAAGATGTTCCCCATGTGCGTAATATTTCGAGAATTAATCTCGCTGCTTCGTGGCACATCTGGATTTTTCTTTGTGCGAGATTCCAGAGAGAAAAGAAGAAAAAAAAAGACAGCGAATGTCGCGCAATCTCCGAAATTTTCGAAAAATTGCTTTCGGTCGAAATATTGCTGGAAGAGAAAAATCATGTTCGTCTCCGGCTCAAGACTAAATAAGGGTCTGTTTGAAAGTCTTCTCGTGCTCAAGCCTCATCATCGTTGCGAAGAACTCTACTTTATTTGGAAAGAAAAAAAAAACTTATGAATCGATGTTTTCTCCTCGATGCTCAATTGAATTCTTTCAAAAATGTGTTTTTTTCCTCTCTCGTCTTTTTCTGAGGGAATGCATGAGATATTCGTGATGAAAAATAAAGAGAGGGGCCGGAGAGAGAGATTTTAACAGGTGTTCGCGGAGAAAATGATGCGTGTCATCATCATCGGGGACGAACAGAAAAATATATGTGTTCGCTTTGCTCGTGCTTGATGCTGATGTTGATATGCTGCTGGGAAAGACGAATGAAAGAATGCTTTTCGGTGTTGAGTGATGTGGTTTATGGGGGTGCTGCTGAGGGCATCTTTTCATTACAACCCAGCCGCGGTTCCCGCCTGCTGTTCCGGAAATCAATCAAGTTGTTTTTGTCGCACGCTATGACGCCCGTGTTCCCTCCTTGGCGGGTTCTTTTCGGAAAGTTCTCGTATTTATTCCAAGGAAAACAATCGCGCGAATACCGTACCGTTAATTGAAATGTAATAAGCATCGTATCATCGTAATAACTCTTTATTGTTACGTAAGATCCTCCGATCCGCGTCGAAAATTAACCTTGTAGATACTCGGAAGAATTCATTCCAAGTATTACCTTAATTCGATTTTTTTTAAACGAATATAAAGAAACATTTTAGGGGTGGATTCATTGTCTGTTTTTGAAGAAAGTCTGATTTAAATTTGCGATTTTCATCTACATAACCAAAGATCACGATAGAAATTCTAATATTAGCTCCTCGAATAGGGCGTTTTGCATGAAAGACAGACATCGGAGACAAGGATTCTTAAAAATTCAATGGTACATTTGAACTATGAAATCTTGAAGAAGTCGGGAGTTTTTTGAATATTCATCAACGATTTAGTCGAATAAAAATGATACACTATCGTGGTAGAAAGAAATTTGCAACAGACGTCGGTTAATCATCAGTCATCGGATTATTTCAAATAAATTTAACATATTTTTTTATCCGGAAGAATCAGGATCTCTTCCACGAAAAGCACGGCTCGTGACAAATTTTTATTTTTGAAATTATGTCCATCACGCTTTAATCAAAATTTAAATAACCTTTAAAATGACGTGGATTCCTTCACAACTTTTGACCATGCAACATATATTTTTTATGCATAATCTCCAAACAAATTTTTTGTTGTTGAAAATTTCATCCAGAATAGACGTTTCCATTGATTTTGATTGATTATATAATTGAACAACACGAACATATATAATAACACTTGGGATAGACGTGATAGACCTTTAAAATGACGTGGATTTCTTCACGACTTATGACCATGCAACATATCTTTTCTACGCATAATCTCCAGTTAAAATTAATTTTTTTGTGAAAATTCCATCCAGAATAGACGTTTTCAGTGACTTTAATTTATTATATACTTAACCAACACGAAAATATATAATAACACTTGGGATAGCACCCCTTGTGCAGGCGGCATAAGAGGAAAGACATGGGGGTCATTTTCCAAAAACGAGGGATATCTCGTCTCCCCCATCTCATGTGTCATCGCTGAATATCTGCAGTTGTTTGTCACGGTTCCGGGATTAAATGAGCCGGTGCAAATGACCTGAATAACTTAAGCTTGACCCCTTGCAGATCATGGGGGTTAGAAAATCCCCGTTGACGTCGTTATGGGAACAGCTTATGTTTTCGTTGAGAACGAATGTCCTGCCACTGACCATTACGAGCTTGTGGAAGGTTGTGCTCTGTATCATGATGGGATGCATCCATTGTTCCATTGTCAGGAAGAAGTACTTTTCCCTTTCTAAAATCCTTGTTTTTATTTTTTTGTTTGTTTCACTCTGTGGTTTCCATCGGAGTCTTGAATAGAAGGTCTGTCTATATATATAGCGCCACAATAAGTGCACATTTTAAATTATAAAATCATGCCGCAGATGCTTGAGCATGAATTCGTAATCATCATATTTTGGAACCAAGACAATTATAATATTTCCTTATTGAATTCACTTCCATCTTTTTGGGAGAAATATAAGACACGCCTTCAATCCCGAACTTGAACCTCTGCTTCAGAATAAAGATTTACAAGCTATGCTTCTTGTGTGATTCAAGATTTGATGATTGAAAAAATTCATGGATGTAGTGCAGTGTATTTAGCTAATTATCTCATGCACCCGTCTTCCAAAAACTTAGAAAATTTAGGGTGTGCGTGATAGAGCATGGGTATGCATATTTTAAGAAAAAAAGGAGCATCAAGTATTTGAAAAAAGAATAACGAAATTATTAGGAGCCATTTAATTAGGTGTCAAGTACAGAGGACAGAAATACCAAAAACTACATTTCCTTTTGAAATAAAGTCTCTTTGTCCATGAGTGCTGACAATCTCAGCAAAAATTTTTTAAAAATTAAAAATTTTATATTTTTGTTGCGCAAAATCCACGGCTTACAAAGAAACAAGGCTGTTGAGAAATTTCACCCCCCAAAAAGGTTCTTTTTCCACTTAAGGGCAGGTAGTACTCAAAGAAATGTAGCATTTATTTTATATTGAAAGAAATCAACTAATTACAAAGACCAATTTATGTTTTAGAAATCAGTTTCTTAGAAAACATCATAGAAAAATATTAACTGCATTCTCTTCAACTTTGTGAGGCAAAGCAACTCCTTGTTTTTTTTTTTTACCGAGTTTCAAAATTTTAGCCGTGAATATATTTTTGATTCGACTTCCAAGCATAATAAATGGACAAAGTTTTAAAGACGCGTTCACTAACCATTGTTAAATGTAGCAAAATTTTGAGAAAACTACATATATAGAGAAGAGGTATGATGAGGAGTATTAATTTTACTTTCTATACGATTATTGCGGCACAAATTCCAAAAAAAATATTTCGTGGAATCGCGGGACGATAGGCACGCGTGCTATCACTCGAATTTTGTGGCAACAATCTTATTTCAATAGTAACAAGTTTCAAAATCGATTTGCAAATTTCGGAAGTTCGCCCCGTGCTCTTGGATACACCGGACAAACGTTCGTTTTTGTCGCTTTTGTTACTGTATTATGAAATAATATTTCCGGGCGGGGCAGAAAAAAAAATTACGCCTTGTGTCGGTGCCACAATGGAATTACGCCTCCCACTGGCGTTGCTGATGCGAAGAAAAACTCGGAGCTTTTCTTCCGGTTTCCGAGGGGTCGAGATTGTGTCAGGAATGGAGTCTGAGCCCATTTGCATGTCATTCACTGCAGTGAATCTCCGGCTGCTGCTGCTGCTGCTTTTGTGTTGGAAGGCGAGAAAATTCCGCGTATATATGGGGACCTCAGGGTGTCGAGCCTTTGTGACGTTTATGAGGAACGATTCACACTCCACGGTTTGCTCCAAATTAAAGCGAACTCGTCTCGAATTTTTCGGAGAGAGAGAGAGAGAGAGAGCCTATAATTGTGAATTTTGGAACATAATTTTTATCAATCAGGGATCCCGTACTGTCCCGAGTGGGACTGTTTTAATTTTCAATCATCCGAATTATTTAAATGATAATTGCCTTCCCCCTGGGACTATGTTGTACTGTTCTTCGGTTTGGAGAAGTCTAAAATTATACAGAAATATACACAAAATATTCGGAAATTTCCTTAAAAAAAATATGACTCATGCAAAAAAAGCACCCTCCGGTTTTCCTAATATCATATGCATTAGAAAGTGAAGTTTGAAGATTGAGGACCATCGAGAGTTGTGAGAGTAATTCAAAATGAAGATAATTGTGTACCGGTATACGAAATTCTTTAATTTTCCTCTGATGTACGCAAACAAATGCATTCCTTGGCGTGTGCTGCCTTTTTAGTTAGTTCGAACTTTACTTTGACGCATTTATACAAATGTATGATTAGGTAATCATGCTGCTTTCAGCCAATAATTATCCATAAGAGTGCAATGGCTGAATGAATGATTTTCGTGGATGATTTTCCAAAAGATACAGAAAGATTCATTTTAAAATATTACCAACACACAGCAAATTTTTGAAGCTATAATTCTATAGACTGAGCACAAGAAGGCTCGACCCTGGGTTTTTAGTTGGGAAAAATGAACAAAATCTACTTGAAATATGTCATCAGAAATATCCAACCAATCCAAGGCTGATGATCGCATTTTATTGATTTTCTTTAAAATAAATCTGACACAAAAAACTAAAATATATGCATTATCTGCGTGAGAGCCTCAAAAACATCAACAAAAAACTGCATACAAATAAGCATCATATACATCCCATGATTAGGAAATTCTATTTTATATGCATACATCGCTAAAAAAAAAAAAAAAAATTTCGCGCTTTGGCCGCATGTGTGGCAGAACAGCTGCTGGTTAACCTCAGGAAACGCGAGCCTAGTTTCCCAGTGGGTTCAAGCGCCGGGTTTGGCCACTGGCTCATTGTCACGTCAGGACACTCGTCAGTCGTCAGACTCGTCACTCTCGACGGCTTCACTGGGCCCCCCTTCGGTGCGATTTCCGCCCCCCCTCACGGCATATACGAGCGGAAATGGGAAAAATATGCGCCGGAACGACGAGGGCGGCGGAAGTGCTGTTGCGGCTGGTCAGGGAGGTGATGAAATATGAAAACACCGCCGGAATGTCTCAGGTCGATGTCTGGAAGTCACTACAAATCGACATTGACGTTTCGACGTCGTTCAGGCTATCCATATAGTCCATTGATCCTCAAAATATTAAAATAAACCCCGTGAATCACCCATAACGAGGCTCGTATATGCCATATTCTAATTTCACGCAGCCGTGCAAGAGAAACTTCCCGTGAAGCTCGTAGAAAATCGATAATTATGGAGAAATATGAGCACATGTGGTTTTAAAAAATAAAAGCAAAAATTGCAATTCTATGCGTAAACCATTCAATGCAAGGTTCCATCATCTAAATCAGTTTGGCTTGAAAGAAAGTCTGCAGGTTGCCGATTGAACCACGCCAAAAATCGCGCAACTTTAAACTTCGAGAACTCGTTCGCCTCATTTTTTTCTTAATTCGACAGCACGAATCTATAAGACATTATTTTGAATAGAAGCCGCGTTCTTCATGCAGGAATGACTTCCACATATGCACAAATATTCAGAACATCCCGGCGTTTTTTTTTTTCAATAACATCTTTCTGAGCGAAAATCCAAATGAAACTGAATGTATACATCAGACGCAAATTTAAGGTCTGATTCCAACGGAAAAATTCTTTATGCAAAAATATTATATTGAAAGCATTGCTTTCTCGTTGGAATGCTGCAACCAAACTTTTTTTCGTTTAAATTTCAGCGGAAGATACAATAATTCAGGTTCATGTGCTGTACATCTCCAAAAGGTTCGAATCACTCACCTCGTCACCCGAACCATATACAGTTATTTTATATACGCGAAGAGGGGGGTTTTTTTTTTACTGCCCCACCTTTTCCTGAAATTTCTCTCCTGTGTATAAATTCGTTGCGAACTTAGATAAAATCTTGTTGCTTTCTTCGGAGAAAAAAAAAAAGATAAGACCGTTCATTTGATGTTGGGGTGCATTCGGGTGAAGCCTGGAAGGTATGGAAACAGGTCATTCGATGTGCTCTTCGTAGAACGAAGACCAGAGGCGGGGAAATTACGTGCTCGATACCCGCAGGGGTTATTTTCCTGGCACGTGTGCGACGTCGAGGGTTGCGACACTTGGCACATTCCACCGGGGATTTTGCGGACGGATGGACTAGGCGCATCTTGCTCGTCACTTGGGACTTCATGAAAGTTTTTTGAAGGTATCTGAGCCCATCACAAACAAGTTGAAGCACATGAATAAATATTCAGCAAACCTTTAACCTTTTTCAAATTTTTTTTACAAATATATTTTTTTTCGTTCGTTATTTTATAGCTACTGTACTATGAGAAATGGAGAAGTCGTACCGAGAGAATAAATGTTTTCTTATATTTTTAAAACAAGCAGAAGAAGTCAGAATTTGAATAGCGTGTCTTCGGAAAATTATGATCACACGATTTCAATACAGTACACAAATTTTTCATTAAGTCAGGTTGTCGAATGGCAAAAGACAAAAAAATTGAGTGTTATCTATTTTCTGCATAAGTTGATGCATTCTGCAGACCGAATTTTGAAAGAATCTCCTGTATGGGGATACAATACATTGAATTCAGTGTAATATGATGGAAATGTACCCCAAATTAAACCGAAGTTTTCCTTCGTCACAATTTTTATATTGCCTCTTTTTGTCTGAGAGCCTAGAGTATCTCGTTTTCAAAGATTTAAAAAAGCCAGAAGGAATTTTGCCTATTTACGAATGCTAAACTCATGTAATAGCAGAGTATGCACGTACATAATTATTCGCTTATTGCTTTCAATTAATTGAACAAAATAAGAAGACGAGAAGAGAAAATTAAACGCAAAAGAGTGTTTTCATAACATTATATCTCTGTAAGACTATGAAATCCATCATTTGAGGCCTGGTCTTGAACTATTTTCCTGAGAAAAGCCTTACAAACGTACATAAGCTGGTATGATGAGATAAGACGATCGTTCCAATTCCGTCTATATGATGGAAAGTTGAAGAAACCTAGCTAAAGATGCTCATGGTTTCATTTCAGATTTTAATTTCGCAGCTTTAATTTGGCGAAAAAAGGGACGCTAACATTCTGATCTGCACCTTTGACGTAATAAGACTTGACTATCCCAAAAGAGTCAACGCATTTTTTTTTTCGTAAAACAAGCTTATTTTCAGCACTGCACTTTTTGAAATCTCGAGCTAACTTCCGGCAAAATAGGATCTAGATATTATGCCTATACAATAAAAAATTAAACGACAGGTTTGAGTTCAGAATTAATTCCCGTGCTTCGAAAAGTGAGCTCATGGTTTAACTTCAGATTTTAATTCAACAGGTTTAATATTTTATAAAAAAAAGGGACGCTAACATTCTGATCTGCACCTATGACGTAACAAGACGATTATCCCAAAAGAGTCAGCGCATATTTTTGTTCGTAGAACTAGTTTATTTTCAGCGCTGCACTTTTTGAAATCTCCAGCTAATTTCCCACAAAATAGGAGCTTGATATTATGCCTATATATATATATATATACATACTAGGAAACTAAACGACAGGATGAGTTCAGACTTAATTCACGTGCTTCGAAAAGTGACAGGGAAGAAAATATTTAGCCCACAACTTTCAACGAGTCCGCCGCAGGGGTCTCGCGTGTCGAGTGCCATATTTTCCGCTTCCGGACACTCCCCTGTATGGGCTATTCGTCGCTCTTTTCCCTTTTTCAGCCCCCCCGCTGCTGCCGAAGTTGTGCAAAATTCAGCACAGGGCACCAGCGACGACGGGGTTCCATCTTCGTGATTATTGAGACCAGTGACGCGAAGGCGGGTTTATTCCGCCAAATTTTCTTTCCTGCGGCCGACTGAGCGCCCTGTATATACGTACATCCTGCTTCCGGGATCTTGAGGAAGCGGATTAGTACATATAGAGAGGTTTACGCACTTCCTGGCTTGATGAAGAGGTTTCTTGTTTGTGAAGCGGAAGAAAAGCGGACTAATTTATTCCTGATCCCTCAACCCTTGAGATGTTTAACACGCGCGTAATTACTGTCGTCGCGGGATAGTATCCGATTTGAAAGCACTCGTATATGGTCTATAAGATCATAAGCAGAATGAGTAAAACCATGCCAGTATTTTTTTCCAGGAATCTTCACAGTTTCAATCATAAAATGTCTCAAGAGTCAGATTATTTCCGTTTAATCTTCCATGTAATTAAATTTAATCTCCCAAACAGCGCCATACACGTAAAATGTAAGGAATTCTAGGATGATTAGTTGAGTAATTTCCAGATTTTGCTGGAAATAATTAACGTACAAGAGCATGGCCTCAAAAAGTATTACCTTAAAAATTAATCTGACCGCAAATCCTCGAGGCAACTTATATTTTTTCATTCTATGAATTTGTATATTTTTAAAGAAAAATTCGTTGCTTCATCAAATTCTTTCGTCTTTGATGCGCCTCAAAGATTACAAGAAAATATCTCCCATTAAAAAAATACTTAGAACAACCTTGATTTATGAATTTTCGTTACATATCTCAATCGAAAGGAATCATAATAAGTTGGATTCGCCAAATTAATAAACTCATAAATGTATCTTTAATTTTGTTTCAAAATGCATTAATGCAGTAGAGTCGGAGAAACCGCAGAAAATTGCCAAAGCCGTCTTAATTCTGGAAAATTGCAGGATAAGACGGGAATATTTCTTTCCTCATACGTACATGGTTAACTATACCAATTGCTCAGGTGTACGAATATTTTACTACTAACTGTAACAAAGCAGTCAAGCACAAAAAATTGATCTGGCAATATAGCGATCGATTCTTCTGATGCACAATTTTATAAATAACATGTGTTGCTTGAATTTTAATGTGAAACCCTTTCTAGTTCACTTTAACAGGTATTTTGAACTTCATTCATGGGAAAAGAAGGTCAAATACGCATTAAGAAAATATGGTATATATGTTGAAGAAACCCAGAAACCATCAGTTGAAAACGAGCTGTATACCTTACTATAGCGTTCAACCAATGTGCAAAATGCTCTAAAGGTATGAAGGCATATAACAAAATGAATTTTCTTATTTATTTAAGCCCTCACATGCTTTAAAATTAAATCCATTCGAAAGAAACGGATGCCTACTGAACTTGAGAAAAATATACAATATGAGATTATCGCGCACATCAGTTCTAGGAAAAGATTGCCGAAATTCATAAGTCATATTTGTTCAACATATTGATCTATATCATTATGTAACGCATGTAAATTTCCTTCTGTAGCCTCGAAGCTTACAGAAAACAAATCAACATCAGTGCATCAGTAAAAGTTCTTCTCGAAAAGCAAGGAAAGCAAACTTATGTTTCGCCAGAAACATTTCAACAGCAGCCAGTTTTCAGAATTCAATCTCATCGATGGCTTCCGCATCACACGTTGCTGTACACGATACTATACTTAGAATCCGAGAAATCTCTTTACCTTTGCAAGAACCCATACTGCGCAAAAGTCCCAAAGGAGTGCATCTTGCATGTGCCTTTTGCCCTTTAAAATATGTAGTCCTTGATGGAATCTTGAACGAAGAAAAAAAAAGATAAGGGATTTATTCATGATTCGAGGGATGGATTCGCGGCACGTGCTTCGTACGTTGCGCAAATTTCTCTCTCCTTCGGCGTTTCTCCTTCTTCTCTCTCTCTCTCTCTTTTATTTTTATTTTGCGGGGATATATTCCGGTGAGCACTTGGCTAAGTCTGTGGTCTATAGGCTCCATGATGCGGCGGAGGATCCTGTTTGCATCGGGAGCGACTTCGGAGGCATCTCCGGAAATGCAATCTCAAAGCCGCTTGAAACACCACTCAGGGTGACTCGGTGATGAGCCTATAACATGATTCCCCTCTGGCATACATGAGCCATTTTCCGTGCACGACAAAGAGTACAAAACACGTGCCACGTCACTAGCAGCTACGGTATTACATAGAGGCCACATCAGCAAAAGACCCGGGAGATGCAGTATAACCGGGTAAGGAGTGAATAATGTTGGGCGAGAGGAAAGGGAAGAATGCGTCGCCTCAGGGCTTTCCTCTTTGCCAGAGGATCCGGGTCTGATCTTTGTTTTACGTGACTGGAACAGATAGAAAGAGAGAGAGAGAGAGAGA